TAATTGATTTCCGGGCAGTGTTTAATTTGATTTGTTTACAGGGGAAACAAAATCGTGTCCATACTGCTCACCATTGTTGTGATTGGCGTAAATTTGTACTTTGTGGTGGTGCAGGTAGAGAGCATGGAAATCAAAGGCGGCCTGCTGGCCCTCGTCTGTGAGTATACAATTCTTTCTATTACAATAAACCTTTGCTAATGGTTTCCTTTCTTCCTTGCTATTTGCAGGTATATTTGCCATTCTTTATTTACTGTTTAACCTATACCTTGTGATACACATGGCTGCCTGCATGGGCAATCAGCGTCTAATGAACAGTCGGGTGAGTATTTTCGCCTCCACTTGGGGCACTTATCAAACGGGCTTTGCGAATCACAAATTAGGCGAACGTTTTGACACATTTTAAAGCATCGCAGATACCGCCATCAATGAACTGACTTTATCAAATTACGTGACTGACCACATATGGTTCTTGGGGGCTTTTGGGGGCTTATGCCTACTTCATCTACTGGTACTCAAGGTATTCTCTGTTTACAGTGGGTGCAGCGCTTCGTGTTGCCAAGCCAGAACAGCTTTTCGATAAAGAACGCCAACTCGACGTATGCCAGGTATGTTCCGGATTTGTTTCACCCAACCACATCATCCTTCACAACACACTCAAATGCACAAACTCTCTCGATCTGCATATCCTTCTTTAGTAGCTATCCTTTCTAACCTATAGCTTGCGATTAAGTTCCTACCTGCACTGTTCTACTGTTACAATTTCTAATTTATCCTAATCCTATACCCATCTGTAAGCTATATCCTCCTCCTATCTCCTCTACTAATTTACATTTGGTTACGATCTCTGAACCGAAACTAAACCCCCAAATCGTATCTTGCTATGCTCTCTTCTCTCGATTCTTCACAGTGATGTAACCTTAGTTGTAGGCGAATCTGCTACTAACACGGTGAAAGGTCTCGATACCGTCTCGGAGAAAGTGCCTATCTGAATCATCCCAGTGACTCATTCAGGCCAGACTCCCCCACACACACCCTTGTGATATTAACACTAAATCACACGCTTAACACTACTAACAAGTACCTAGTAGGGCTCTACGCAACCCTTAGAATTTGTAAGGCATGTCTTTAGGGGAACTACGTTTGTATATAGAAAGCATTTACCCATCAACGATGGGGTCCTATAGATAGTAAGCGTGACACTGGTAAGTCTCCACTGATTGTTTTATCGAGTAATGTGTATTATGTACTCGTAAGGCTTTGGCGCTTAGCATGTTTAATAAAATTGCATTTATCACTAAGTATTACTCGAAAAGTCTTTCAATTCGTTGGTAATTGGTATTTGGCCATAAGTGTCAAGAGAAGCCGCTATAGAAATGGAAAATGATCGGAACTAAAAGGAATTACTGCAAAATAAAGGAAAGAATGTACAAATTCAAAACCTGCTTAAACGAACAATTTATTATTTAGCATTTAAGCTTTATAAGAGTTAGTTATACTTACCTGTAGATTATTTTAAGTGTACTTTTTGGCAACGGGCATAAAGCACATTGGGCGTGGCTCATTTATCATCTAAGTCATACTAATATATTAAATAAATTCGTGGCTAATTTTCAAATAATTTTGTATCATGACATTTTCTTTTATTATATGTACTTGGAAACCCTGTACTCTCTGTATGTGTCTGTGTGTTTCACAACTCTCCCCTATCCGTTCTATCCTATACACCATATACACCCCACTCTTATACTCGGTGTCTACTACTCGACTGGATTGATTGATGTTTCTCGTTTCCCATTCATTTGTGGCTAATTGAAATGTGCGAAACAAATACACAAAAAACAACTACAATAAAACCACCAACTATTTTAAATTGGCAAACACAAAAACAAATTTAAACACAAAAACACACACACGACGTCCACAAAATTATACTTTATATTTATGTGGAAATGGATTTTTTGGCACTGATACAAACAAATTGAAATCACTTTTCGAAACTTTTTGATCGAATATATTCAAAATTGATTTCTAAAGAATTGCGCATAATATGCAAAATTTCAATGCAACATAATCCAATGCGAAGCAAAAGCGAAGCTAATTGAATTGGCTGAATTTCGATCGATTGTAGAACGCGTGCCATGACCAATGAAACAATTAAGAGGGTACCAAAATAAAAATCCATTTTTGTTTACTTGACTTTAAATATCATGGCCAAAATGCGCCGCGCCCTAAAATGTGCTGGTCAAAACTGATTTTTTCTCTTTGCTTGGGGCCTCATCAACGTGAACTACTACCACTTGACTTCTGGATCGGATCCTGCATATAATGTATATAGCGAGCTGACGCTAAACGATAATGGAATCGCAAGAAACTCCATTCAGAATCCAAATCAGAATCTCACCCAACGAAGCCAATTAAGATAGTTTTAAGTCAAATTTTCTCACCTAAACTCGATTGTACAATTTGAAATTTATGTAAATCTTGTAAAGAATTTATGGTCCTAAGATCGTGCACTTTAAGTATTTTCTCTTTAGATGATCTTTCTTAGTGTAATTATTAGACGAATTGTACGTACTACTCTTTTGAATACATTTTGTTGATATTAGACGTTTTGTATAAATCACTATGTACATTTTAGATTCTGTATGTATATTAGTAGACATATTTATTAACACTAGAAATAAAAGAATTTCACAAAACTTTCCACTCTCTTTTCCAGACAATAAAAATACAAATTTCGATTTTGTGTTCGCTGGTGGTTTTTTACTTTTTACTATGTTTGCTTTGAACTTGTTTGTTTACGTGTGAATTAAATGTGTTTAGGAATTTCATGATGCGTTTTAATCTGTTTTGGCTAACTATATGTATGTGAACTGAATAGAAATTTCATTTTTTCTTGAGTTATACATTTCTATTTGTTGTCTTTATTATGTTTAGATAATTAAGACGATTGTTAAATTCTATAGGGAGGGAATTTCGGTGGGCTGATAAAAACAATTGGGCTATAACGCATGTTAGTGTAAAAAGCCGAATTTTTATAACACTGATAAAATTTAAAATCTTTTAAAAAATATTGGTCTTTCAACATTTCCATAGACTTTATAGCACGAAGAGGGGTATTCACTTTAATTAAAAAGCCTACAAAATGAAATTTTTAGCTTGCACTCTTTATACAGAACTTTTCTATTGAAATACTTCCTCAAAAGTAAAAACTAAATAAAATGAAATATTTCTTATGTAATGTTAATAATCACGCTACAAATATTAATTTGGTGTATTCATTTTTTACGGGGACATGATTCTGTTATTTAAGATATGTAGATACTGATTGCAATTTTTTTCATACATAGTTAATAAAAGTATAGAAGACATACTTGTAGCCCTTTTCTGATTCTTAATTATAATACTCGTAATAAGCTTTGTAACTATTTGCCAATGATGTAAAAATACGCCTAGTTTATTTTAAGCCTTCAATAAAACATTAAGATGACTCACTAAACAACTGTACTCAATCGCCTTAGTAATTAATTGGATCGATGGATATTAAAATATTTTTTTTATAAGAAATGCTAGCTTGACCGTGAACTTTATGCTGGTAATCTTTATTCTATCCTGTAAACTTTAAATCTGTGCCGATTCTACTGGGCTCTTCTGTAATTTCGAGTTATATTAATATTGCATTGTCGAGAGAATCGCACTCAACCAACCTCACATATACCCTGCATCAACCATCAATCATCACTCACTTATAACACTTTCCCCCATCACTTTCCTTGCAGGATTGCCACGAGTGCCGACCAAGAGGCGGAGGGCTTGGACGGTGAGGATGCGTAGCCATTACTGTGCTGCACTGATTCCGATGGCAGTGAGGAGGTTTGTTTCACCAACAGCAACAACAACGAGCTGGGCTGCCCCAGCAGCAACCTGAACGGAACTGGGGGTCAGCACGTAGTCCTCAGCTAGCGGTGGCGCTCGAATTGGCTCCGTGAATGCCGCCGCCGTAACAAACCACTCGACAACGGACACGATGTGGCAGAGTGCTCCGGGGTCAGGTCGAAATGCGACTTGACCTGGCTGGCGGAGGTGGAATTGGCGTCCGTTGTCGCCTCGGGTATTCTTTTTTAAGGGGTCCTCCGAGAGGACCTGGGATCAGTGTAACACAATAACTAAATTCTAACTTAATGCAAACCAAAAATGGGTAATGAACACTACTTACTAAAAGCGATGAGAGACAAAAAAATCCATGAGATCGTCTAAATTATCACTAATCGAAAGCACTTTTAATTAAAGCAAATAGTTATAAAGTCTATTAATAATAAGGCTGTGAAATTAACTGAGCGTAAATCGAACCACAATTCTAATCGTGTTTAAATTCGTCTGTAAAATTGAATCATTGTATCTCTCTATTGAATGTGTGTAGTAATTATTTATCAAATTTTTAAAAGAGAAACTTTGTACTTTGTATTTATTTTGTACTGTTTAACCTAAGATATCCTTTTTTAAAGCTGCACTTTTTAATGAAAACTAAAGGTCCAGTGGAGTCCATCATCTCCTAGCTAGCCGCATACATATATTTTAAAATTGTTGTGTACAAAAATCGCTATAAATAAAAAATTGTATTATACTAAGAAGAATCTTGTATGGTGTTCCTTACTTTTGTAAATTGCAGTTGAAAGATCTGAGAAAACTCTAGAAATATATATATATATATTTTATGCGTCAATATCAGTGATTATCTGAGCCAATCGAAAACGTGTTGCAAACTACGATTACTTTTAGTTGTAATACAAATTAGCCCTATAATGACCCATTAGGCGACTGAAAGTGAAAATTACAGCCAGATAATAATTAAATCGATTATTCTAAAGAGTGTTAGATGTCAGGAGTGGGCGCGGGTGTCGCTATCTATTATATCCATTCATTGAAATGCTATTATCCGATTTGCATATGCATGTAACCTACTAACTATTCGCAGACTCTTAACAGCCTATAAAAGCGGATAGTTGGTCGCAAACCCATTCATTAACAAGCTGACACTAAACCGAGTCGAAATGAAGGTGACCTTATTAATTTTCTGTCTGTGGAGGTTTGTCGTTATGGGACAGCTGCGTAAGTAGAAGGACATTCTCTACTAGAGCCTTGCTCACTTGTACAACTTTTAGCTCCTGAGATTGGGAAGTGTAAAGCTGGCGATTCCATCTGCGTGGCGGAAATGTTTACCCGAATTATGCGATTGTACCCCAAGGGTCTAGCCTCCATTGGACTAGGTGCCCTCGATTCCATTTCATTTGAGAATGTTATCGTTAGTCGGATAGAACCAGGCGACCCAGCAACGTTGGATCTGAGATTCCATAACTTAACCGTAAGTGGATTCGCGGACGCTACAGTGGCGGAGTCAAAGGGATTTGATGCGGAGCTGCCACGAGTCCTGGAGCTAAGTGGCTGGACTCCATTGTTGAAACTGGATGGGTTCTACGAGATGCACGGTAGTCTGCTGACTTTGCCCATTCAGGGTAAAGGTCATGCTCTGGTTGAGATCAAGGAGTGCCGTTTCCGCTGCAAGCTGAGGGCGCTGGAGAAACTTCGCGGAGATGACAAGCGCTATGCTGAGATAGCCAAGGTCAAGTGCTTGTTGGATGTGCAAGGGTAAGATTATGCATTCTACTGATTAGAACTTGATCTCAAAGACCCTCCATCATCAGAGTGCATCTGAATTTTGAGAATCTATTTAATAATCCGGAGCTGAGTGACGCCATGAACGAGGTGGCCAACGCCAAATGGCTGGATATTTGGCATACCCTTCGCAAGGGTATCACTTCCGCAGTGGATGAACTGGTTCAGTCGGTTCTCAAGAGAGTGGCTGACAAGCTACCATATGACGATATTTATAGAGATTAAAAGTTCAAGCTTTTGTTCTTTTCTAAATACCTAGATGTATTCATTTAGATTATAAATAAAATATATATTTACCGTATGCTCTTTCAATTGCATTTAAGTGTGGAATATCCAAACTGATTTTTACTTATTTATAAGTTTTGTCCAGCTGTAGCAAAGGATTCTGATTCATTCGCTAGAAAAAGCTTGATCGACGGGTTAAAGCTACGCTACTATAAAAATGTCATTTAGTTTAAAGCGTTAGTCAGTGGGAATAATGCAATTGAGCTTGATATATCTGGCACTAGTTGCCCACCTAGTCGCAGCTAATCAATTGCGTAAGTGTTTCGCAAAGCAAGCTTTAAACGGAAAACAATAACTTGAAATTTCGAACAGCTTCTGGAATAGAAAAGTGTCGCTACCAGGACGACATATGTCTCTTGCACAGCAGCAACTTGGTGATTCGACGATATGGAAAAACTGGAATGGCACAGATGAATATAGAACCATTGGATGCTATTAAGGTACCCCCATACGATCTTCAGAAAGGGAATCGTGATCAACCCTTATGGCATGACTGGAAAGTGAGTGACCAATGGGTCTACGGTTATGAGAACACCACATTGACCAAAATCCACGGATTCGATCGAGACCCTACGCGTTCGCAGGTGGAGATTCATGGCCGAGTACCCAGCGTGAGGTCTACGGCGCAATTCCAATTTATATCGCGATTTCTCACCTTAAAACTAAATACGACAGGTCGAGCGAAATCAGATTTACAGAACTTTCGGTTTGTTCTTAAATTCTCCCTCACTGCTGACGACAAAGGCTATGCTAAGATCTACAAACTTACACTTAATTTCGATTTGGATCGGTAAACTTGTTTTACAATTTAATTTTTTTCAACGGTATAGTTTTATACATATTTGACTTTCAGCTGGATTCAGGAGTTGGAAGACCTGTTTGTGGGCAATACAGATCTTACCGTGATCGCTAACGAATGGATGAACCGGAACTGGAGAGAGTTTTGGGTTGATTTTGAACCGGAAATAACTGAAACCGCTCGTCTATTAATACTTGAAAAACTGGATAACATTTTTGCAGCCGTGCCCTATAAAGATATGTTTCTTTAGGTTTAATAAATGTGATTACGTTCACTTGATTGCTGTGCTCTAAAAAAGCTTATTGAAAAACATTTAATTCAGGAGTGGGGTGAGATCGATCGAGAAGTGATAATATAAGGCAGTAAATTGTTTTATTATAGCACTGAGAAGAATTGTTGTTGAATACCTTCAACTTATTCTCGAATATGCTGTAAGATAATCTTATACAGAATAACTTAAGAACTTCGATTTTTAAGATAGCATTATTTATTTTTCTCAGTGTGTAGGTTAGGTTTCCTTGTAAATGAAACGGCATTAGAATTCATTGATTCTAATCACCGAGTAGTTACCATCGGCTGTGTAAGAGCTTTGGTTTTATTTCCGATTTTATTTTACGTTGAAAAGGTGAATCTTACCTCAAATTTTTTAGGAACTGATTCCGGAAATAATGATATTAATAATAATGATTCTGGTAAAAACCCTCTTCCTAAGTGTTCAAGGATTTGTAAATATCCGATGTGGTATATATTAACGGGTATCTAATAGTCGAGGCCGTCGACTATAGCGACTAAATATCAGATTCTGATAAATATCTGATCCCATCAAAAACGTAATGCAATCTACGTTTACGTTCAATTGTAATACAAATCTGCATTCGTAATGATCGATTAGCTGTAAGTTAAAATTATAGCCCCGAACACTTAATGATGTGGTAATTAATGTCTGGTGTGCTGGTGGGCCTCACACATGGTTCTATATATCTATTATCCGATTTGCACTTGGGGGTAACTGGTAATTATTGGCTGACACTTAATAGCATGTTAAATAGTTATTCGATAGGCTTCAATTTATTATGAGGCTAACGTTGTTTATTTTCTGTCTGTGGAAGTCTCTTGTTTTGGGTCATCTGCGTAAATGGAAGGACATTCACGGTAGCTTACTGACAATTCCAATTCAGGGAAAAGGCCAAGCTATGATTTTTAGAATCTCTTCAATAAACCGGAGTTCTTGGATTTGGCGAACGCCAAGTGGCTTAATTATGACTTACGATTTCTATAGAATCTATATAGTACATAGTATCTATAGTACAGATACTCGTATTAGAAGTGCCAATAAACTCAGATTTATTGGTATAATTTTGATATCTTTTTTTACTTTAGAAAACTGTCATTTTCTAGATGCTATTTAACCAGTGCTTAACAATGTTAAAATAATTGTACTAAGGGGCCGTCGTGGTATATGACGTGGACAGTTTTGGGGGGATTGGGGGGTTCGTCAAAAAGTGCTTAAAATTTTTCCACGTGGTATATGGACGGCCCCTAATCATACCCGAAACTCGTAGAGTAAACGGGTATACTAGATTCGTTGGAAAGTTTATACCAGGTAGGAAAAAGCGTTTCCATCCGTGCGTCTGAACGAATGAACGCTGAGATATTGGAAACTATAAAAGCTAGAGTGTCGGGATTAAGCATGCAGATCGGAGTGCCACACCCCCTCTAACTCCCACAAACGCCCATAATGCTTATAACGTAGTGTGTGCTGCGCCAATAGAAATGCCCTGGAATTTTATTTTCATTGAAATTTTGAACAGGGTAACAGGTATCTTATAGTCGAGGCACTTGACCTATATCGTTTTGCAAGGACTCTGATTCATTTGATAGATAACGCTTTTTCAACAAGGTAAAGCTCTACAACTATAAAATTATCGCTTAACTTTGAGCATTTGCCAGTGGGAATAATGCACTTCAGCTTGATATATCTCGCACTTGTTGCTCAGCTGGTAGCAGCTTTTCAATTGCGTAAGAATATTGAAGCAGCAAGCTTTAAACGGAAGTCTATAACTCGACGTTTTGAACAGCTTCTGAAGTAGAAAAGTGCCGCTACCAGGATAATATATGTCTCTTGCGGAGCAGCAACTTGGTGATCCGACGGTATGGAAAAACAGGACTACCGGAAATCAATTTGGAACCACAGGACGCTATTAAAGTTCCACCCTACACACTTCAGCGTGGGAATCGCGATCTTCATTTCTGGCACGACTGGAACGTGAGTGACCAATGGGTCTACGGATTTGAGAACACCACCTTGACCAAGATCCAAGGATTCGACCGAGACCCTAGGCGTTCGCAGGTGGAGATACATGGTCGTGTTCCCAGCGTGAGCTCTACGCTGCGATTTCAATTTTTATCGCAATTTCTCACCTTAAAAGTAAACACGACTGGTCGAGCAAAGTCAGATTTTCAGAACTTTCGGTTTATTCTTAAATTCTCCCTCACTGCTGACGACAAAGGATATGCAAAGATCTACAAACTTACCCTTAATTTGGATTTGGATCGGTAAACTTGTTTTTAATTTTTTTCGAATGTTTTGTTTTATGCCTATTTGACTTTCAGCTGGATTCAGGAGTTGGAAGACCTATTTGTGGGCAATACAGATCTTACCGTGATCGCTAACGAATGGATGAACCGGAACTGGAGAGAGTATTGGGTGGATATTGAACCGGAAATAACGGAAATCGTTCGTCTATTAATACTTGAAAAATTTGATAAAATTTTTGCTGCGGTGCCCTATAAAGATATGTTTCTTCAGGTTTAAATAAAAGTGATTACGTTCACTTTATTGCTGTGCTCTAAACTGTGCTTGTTGAAAAAAATTAAATTCAGGTGTGGTGAAAGCTTTGACCCTCGGCTGAGATGAATATCTATCTCTACTCTCATTTGTAGGGTTGAGATCGACCGAAAAGTGATTATATAAGGCAGTATATTATTTTATTATAGCACTGAGAGGAATAGTAACTAAATATCTGATAAGTATGTATATTAGAAATATTTTAATTTTGAATTTCTACTTGAATGTGCTTTAATAAAATCTTAATCTTAAGTAATCACTTATAATTTTGGCTTTTAAAAATAGCAACATTCACCAAACCAAAATCAGTTAAATTCGAAAAGAGATCTTTATTGGTTCTTCCTAAAACCGATTTTCTAGTTTGTTTGAGGATTCGTTCCGAACTGATAAAGATTTCAAATAAACTTTTGCTTAATACTGCTTACTTAGACATACTGAACAATAATTTTCGCTAGAAATGTTTTGAATAAATCAGACTAAATTTCTCTATTTATTTTATAGCATATACCCCCAGGTTATGAGTTTAGGAAGAGAGAAAATATGAAAACTGGTTCTCTGCCTATGCGCATTCCTGCCAGGTTTCTTGGCCTTAAAAATGAGAGTCATACTTACATATCTAGATTGTATGTTTTATAGCCAAATGGCTGGTGTGAAGCTCAGACTCAGACCAAAATGTATGTTTAATTTATAAAGATTCTAGGGCTGCTTCAACTGATTGCCAATCTGAAATGTGAAGAGCTGGGAGAGTCTTCAATACAAGTAAAAAACAAAACTAGTCCGGCCAGAATTTCCTCAGGCATCACCAGACTTCAAAAGATGGAACTACTGGGTCTCTAACTAAAAGTAAAAATTATAGCCCCAAACGGTTAATGATGTAATTATTAATGTGCTCGGGGGTCGTCTATGTCTATTAAGATAATAGATAATGCGATTTGCACTTGCATTTAACTGTTAATTATGGGCTGCCCCTTAATAGCATGTTAAATAGTTATTATATGGGCTTCGATTAATTAAACCGAATAGGAATGAGGTTAACCTTATTTATTTTCTGTCTGTATGAGTCTCGTGTTTTGGGCCATCTTCGTAAGTGGAAGGACATTCACAGTAGTCTGGTGAATATGCCCATTTAAGGGAAAGTTTAAGCTCTGGAGATTAAGAATTGTCATTGCATCTGCATTTTGAGAGTCTCTTCAATAATCCGGAATTGAGTGGCCATAAAGAATTAAGACAACGCCGAACAATTTGGCTGAACTCTCAAGGGAGTGGCTAAGAAGTTACCGTGCTATTATTTGTATAAATTCTATACTGCAGAGATTAGAAATTCGAGAAATGGTTAGATTTTAAAACTTTTTTTTCATTAGAAAACTGAAATATTAGTCGGGAAGTATGTGACAGGTAGAAGGAAGCGTTTCCGACCCTAAAATGTATATATTTTTTTGATCAGGATCACTAGCTAAGTCGATCTATCCGCTTGTCCATCCGTCCGCATGAACGCTGAGATCTCGGAAAGTACAAAAGTACGAAAGTACAGCCAATAAATCAAAAAAATTTAAAATTAGTTTAATGATATAAACCTGTATAATTCATTTAATTATTTTTTTTATTAAAGAATAAAACATAGGGGGTGTGGTGCTAGCTGCGGGCCTTCGACGAGCTGCGCTGGCATCGAGTACCCCTGAATTTGAATTAAATTAAAATTTGAATCCATGTAATTTGTATCTGATAATCTGATTCAATTGCTAAAACGCTTTTTCAACCGGCTAAAGCTTCACAACTATAAAAATATCGTTTAACTTTGAGCATTTGCCAGTGGGAATAATGCAATTGAGCTTGATATATCTCGTACTTGTTGCTCACCTGGTAGCATCCACTCAATTGCGTAAGAATATTGCATAGCAAGCTTTAAACGGAAGTCAATAGCTTAACTCTTTGAATAGCTTCTGATGTAGAAAAGTGTCGCTACCACGACGATAACTGTATCTTGCGCAGCGGCAACTTTGTGATCCAGCGATATGGTAAAACAGGAGTGGCACAGATGAATATAGAACCAGTGGATGCTATTAAGGTACCCCCTTACGAGCTTCAGAAAGGGAATCGTGATCAACCCTTCTGGCATGACTGGAAAGTGAGTGACCAATGGGTCTACGGTTTTGAGAACACCACCTTGACCAAGATCCAAGGATTCGACCGAGACCCTAGGCGTTCGCAGGTTGAGATACATGGTCGAGTACCCAGCGTGAGCTCTACGGCGCGATTTCAATTCAATTCCAAATTTCTCACATTGAAATTGAATGCGACTGGTGGTGGCAAGACAGATTTCCAAAACTTTCGGTTTATCGCTAAGTTCTCTCTTACAGTAGATAACAAAGGATATGCTAAGATCTACAAACTAAGTCTCAGTTTGGGTTTGGACCGGTAAATTGTTACCTATTTTTTGTTTACTATTTTCTAGCAAATTGTTCCGTGCTTTTTTTTTCAGCTGGATTCAAATGCTGGATGATCTTTTTGTGGGCAACACAGATCTTTCCGTAATCGCTAACGAATGGATCAACGTGAACTGGCATGAGTATTGGGTGGATATCGAACCGGATATAACGGAATTTACGCGTCGATTTTTAATTAAAAAACTGAACAGAGTTTTCTCCACGGTGCTCTATAAAGATTTCTTTCTTTAGGCTAGTTAAAAGTGATTTTATTCACTTGATTTCTTTACTCTGAGCGCACTGATTTATTGGATAAAATACTGAAGCTTAAACCCGGTAGCTTTTCAGCTTAGCTATCGTTTTACAAGGGGAGGTCGATCGAGCAGTGCTAATATAAGGCAGTAAATTATTTAGTAGCAGCACTGAGGAGAATCTTAAATAAAAATGCGAGCTGTATAACTATACGATTTAACATTCACGTCGTGATACTAATTTAAATAAAATGAAAATACATTTTTTTTCCAATTAAATATTTAATTGGTTGGGTTGGTGGTAAAGGTCATACTTGTAAAGGTAATATATAACATATTTGTCAATTAGGTAAGAATATTTCCTGATGACCATCTTCAAAACAAACTTTAAGATATACATTTTTTCTCAGTGGGTATATAGCATCTAAGCTCATAGACAACACGTTATGATAATGGGAGCTTTCAAGATTTCCTTAGAAAAATCCGCCATAACAACAAATCGATTTTAATCACCGAGTAGTTGCTATCGGCTATGCAAGTGCTTCGGTTTACTGAGAGTTTAGGTGTGCTCTATAAAGGATTGTTTTTTTTTCCGCTCTGATATGCGTTCCCTGGCTTACGTGGCTATCAGCGTTCAGCTATTCGTCGGACTGCAGTGCCAGAGTTTGCGTGGGTTTTTTATAGGATTATTCCTATAATAACTGTTTAATTAACCTCCCATATACAGCTGCCAAGGTGAAAAAATGTCATTACGGCGACGGAAAGTGCTTAGTAGAGTCGGCCAATGCCTTGCTGAGGAACTTCCCAAAGGGCATACCCGAGGTCAATCTGAAGCCCTTCAATGTGCTGCCCGTGCGGGACTGGCTGCTGGTCAATGATTCCCAGGTGGGTGGTGCCTGGTACTTCTTCGAACTGCTTAACCAGATCAACTACGGCTTCGAGAACACCACCATTACGGAGATCCGGGGCTTCGACAAAGATCCCACAGCCACCAGGATCGAAATTCATGGGAAGATTCCCCGGCTGGTCTACAAGGGCGACTATTTGGCCAAAGGTCGGATGCTCTGGTTCGTGGATATAAACTCTCACGGTACCTCCGAGTCGGACTTCCTTAATTTCCGGTTCGATCTAACGTTAAAAGTGCGCATCGAGTACAGGAACAACAAGCGATACCTAAAGATCTATGAACTTGTTCCGAATATAAGACTGGATCGGTAAGTCTATGCGTATTTTATCAGATCTGAAACTTTTTAAAACTAATTGGTCTAATAACTTGTATCTTTTTCAAAGGTGGATAATGTGGCTGGATAACTTCTTTCCAGACAATGAAGACCTGACCATAGCTATCAACAATCTGTTTAATCGGAATTGGGTGGAGTTCTGGAACGAACTAGAGCCGGGAATTCTAAGCCTGTTTGAAACCGTCTTCCTAAGCTTGTTCGAAGATTTATTCGAAAAAGTACCTTACGATGATCTGTTCCTAGCCGATGAAGACTCCAAATAGACTTTAGCTTAGTAATAAGTTATTAAACATAATGTAGTGTAAATAAAATAGGGTAAAAAATTCTTAACTAAACATATTTTATTTTAATTAAGCTGAGTTAAGTCCTATTTATTGTGGGGTTTGTCTCTTAATAAGTTTTAAGAGACATATCACAGGGGGAGAATAAATACATATGATTTGAAAACAAGTTCTCGATTTATGCGCATTCCTTCCAGGTTTGTTGGCCTTAGAAAACTGCGAGTGAAATATGGGAGTCATACTTGTTCTAAATTAAAAGTTTAATAGACAATTGACTGCTGATGCCAACAAAAGCTTTACTTCTATCAAAAGTGGGTTTGCTTTATAGTTCTGATTTAACTGAGTAACATTCTGAAATGTAGAAGTTAGAATTAGCACTCAATTTGAGAAATTGTTAAAAATGTTTTCACTCAGCTTATTAAATTAATATTGTTCAATAAAATTGACGTTGTTACGTAACTTTTTCAGTTCCTATTCAATACAAAGCTAACCAAACAATTGGATTGCAATTCTTTCAAATTACTTAACACACTAATTAAATTTTATTTTCATTGATACAAGTTGAAAATGCTAATAAACCAAGTAAAGCTTTTAACCGGTTTAAGATACATTAAATCAAATAACTAAGTTCCAGTTGATCGTCCACCACTGAAGGTACTAGAAGTGCACTTAGTATACTAGCAGCACAAACTATACAGGAATGCGCGATATAATAATCACTCTGCTGCTCCTGCAGATCATCGGATCGCTGCAGGGCCAGATGCTACGTAGGTAACAAAGACCAGGCTTCAAAGCCCGGAGTATATTAGATAAATAATATCTTGATCGTTACATGACATCCCAGCGAAGGAAATTAAAAAGTGTCACTTTGGTGAGTCTCAGTGCATCGTGAATTCGATGAACTTGTTGATAAAGAAGTTTCCAAGGGGAATACCGGCGCTGGGAATGAAACCCATCGATGTGGTGGACATCAAAAACTCCAAGTTCTGGAACGATGAGAAGGTTGGTGCGTTCTGGCTTGACTTCGATTTGTTTAATCAGGTGAACTATGGCTTCGAGAATACGACGATCACTAAGGTAAGTGGGTTCGATGAGAATCCCACCTCAAGCCTGATCGAAATACACGGCCGGATACCAAGTCTTATCCACAAGGGCAGCTACTACTCTCAAGGAAGAGTGTGGATTGTGGAGCTAAATTCCACGGGAGAATCCTTTTCGGACTTCCAGAACTTTCGCTTTGTACTCAAACTGAAAGTTATCATGGAGTATCGGAATAACAAGCGCTATTTGAAGATCTACGAGCTAAACCCCTTTGTCAATATGGATCGGTGAGTTGTACCTGGTTAAAATCCTATATCAGCTAGACTACAGATTACCTTTCAGGTGGGTCTTTTGGCTGGACAACTTTTTCGAATCGAACACGGATATGACGATAGCCATAAACCAGGTGTTCAATCTGCACTGGGTGGAGTTTTGGAACGAGCTAGAGCCGACAAATCTGAAAATATTTGCTAGTGTCTTCCGAGATATATTTGAAGATATCTTCAAAAAGGTCTCCTACGATGATATGTTTTTACCGGTTTCCAAAGACTCCGAAGTAAATGATTAAAGTCGTCATAAGCTATTACATTCCAGTTTTATTGGAGACATGGAAGGACAAAGATTAATATGGCACGCAAACCGGTTAAGTATTTGCATTTGTTATTGTTGATAGTTGAAAAGCTTCGCTTGGAGCAGGTTCTAAGTATTTGAGATGCAATAATTACTTCGTGACCGAAGCATTTATTGTTTTGCAGTCAGTTGAATTACGCCAACGTAATGAACAACATGAATTCGCTGATTTGGTTGTGTTGCTGTTTTCCAGTTCTAATCTTTGGAGCAGGCTTACGTGCGTAGGATTTTAATTCCGAGCTGATCTGCTTTTAACGGACCAAAACATTTCCAGCTGATGATATTGAAAAGTGTCATTTTGGAGACTCCACATGCCTGGTTCGGTCCATCAATTCCTTGATCAAGCGCTACCCGAAGGGAATCCCGGAAATAGGCATCCCGCCGCTGGACTCTTACAACTATTCGGACTCCATCATTCTAGAATCGCCGAGTCACGGACCCATCTGGATGGACTTTCGCATGCGGGACAATGTGAGCAAGGGATTCAATAATGCCACAATCACCCATGTGGAGGGATTTCTGTATGAGCCCAACCAGAAGCAGATTGTGCTGAAGGCCCGTTTACCCCGACTCCTGCACGAGGCCACCTACGAAATGGTGGGCAAGGTCATGTTCTTTGTCTACAACACCACTGGACGGCTGTCCTCCGACTTTCAGAACATCCGCATAACCCTTACCATAAAGGCGTTAGTGGAGTACAGGAATGACAAGCGCTATCTAAAGATTTACGATCTGAAGCCCAGCATAGACTTGGATCGGTAAGTGACCCGCATCTAGGCAGGATTCCCTGGTTAACCGCAACATTTCTAGGTGGATCATTTGGTTAGATAACCTGTACAAGGATAATATGGACGTGACCATATTCATGAATCAGCTGCTCAACGAAAACTGGGTGGAGTTCTGGAATGAGCTGCAACCCGGTTTGATCAAATCTTTCACCATTTCTTTTACCACCTTAATTAACAAAGTGTTTGAGAATATTGCCTACGATGACATGTTTCTCCCCTATCTAGACGTAAGAATTGGTTCTTGATAGGATTGAACTTTTAAGTGAAACTACATAGAATGAGGGGAGCAAACCGGTTATAAATGTAAGACAGACTTACACTAGAAAAATGAAAACATTATTCTAGTTTCTTTAAGGGTATCTATTTGGCTATATGATTTTACAAAATATTTCTTAAAATATTATTTCTATTCTCTGTTTTAATTAATGAACGAAGGAAAAATTGCTAAGGAAAATCGTTCCTGTTAAAAAAGGTCTTGGGTAAGATTTCACCGCCTCAGTAACCTGATTCAGTTAACTTTAAAACTTGCTCAGATACTATAAAATAAATTAACATTTAACTAGATTAGATCTTTTCCGAGCTTGTGGAATTTTCCGTCATCTTGAAGTTCGTCGTAGAAGATATGATCGTTGTAGGACTCATCGCGATGGTACATGTGCTGGTGACCCTTGGACCTACTGCCCTTCTTGAACTTTCGATGGTCGGCGGACAGCTTGAGAAGTTTCTGCCGTTTGTGGGGGAGACCCAGGAACTGAAGCGGACTGGTCATCTCTTGCAGTTTCACTTGACTGGACACCTCAGCAGTCTGGTCATATGGATACTTGTTATCTGGATTCTTTTGATCTTTGTGCTGGCGCTTGCGACGCTTAAGGCTGCGTCTCCTGGCTGGTGGTCCCAATGGACGGAGCACTATCCGGAATGGAACCATGTGGAAACGCTTCTTGGGCTTGGGTTTCTTCTTTTTCCACATGCCCTTGTATTGGTCCACCACACTGCAGGTTTGCATGTCCTGAGGCTTGGGGATACCCTCGTCCAGTTTTGGTGGGCACTGCAGCACATAGTAGAGATCGCTGACCTGGCCTCCACCAAGAAGGCTGTCCTCCTGGGAATGGGAGTCGAGATCCGAATCCGAGTCTTGGGAATAGAGCAACTGGGCAGCCGGCACCTTGTAGTAGGCGAACATGTTGCGCTCCACCACGATGGCCAAGCTCAGCTGCTGGATGAGGCCCAATCCCAGTGCCAACTGCCACATGGTTGCCAATCAACTGGTTGCAGCCACCACCTCTGAATTCAGTTTATAAGCTTATTGATTTTCAGGCTTGGCTGACTGCTTGCATAAATGTGGTGCGGTTTTTGGTCTCGAGACTGGAGTTCAGTGAACCATCACCCAAAACACGCGGCGCATTCCGCGACCTAGGCCTTGTCCAATCTCGGCTGAAAATAGAAAAACTTTTACAGCCGGAAGTCATGCAAATATCTGTTGCTTTTTGGCCTTGATTATGCACCTTGTTGCTGTCGTGGCAACAAGTGGTATGATTTTGTTGACGACCACGTGTTGATCGCGCCTGCGCTTTGAGATTCCATAAAAAGGGGCGAGAAATTATTGAAACTCTGAGTGATTTACTTTGTTTGGGTTAGCCCAGGATTTCCCCAGACCAACTGTTGCGATTTTGATGCAACAGTTCTTGGCGTGCATGGAAATCATTTAGATTTACGAGTCCACACCATTTTGCGGACAGGTGTTTGACAGACTTTTTAGGGTTTTCGCGTGTTTGGTTTGTTGCATGTTGCAGATTCTAGTTGTTTGCCTATCCATTCTGGCATCTAATTTGCCATTTATTGGTGCTAAAGAGATGGATTAATCGTATTACCAAATATAAAATTCATTTTCTTAAATGAGGGTACGTATGCTTTTATTAATTAGATATTTCACAGAAGAAGACTAAGAGGGGATGCACTAAATGTTATAATTATAACCTAAATAATCTAAAATGTAAAGAAAAAAATATTTTAATTATGCTTAAATTAATACATATTTAAAATGGTGTTTGAAAATATCAAGCAATGAAACCCAAACAAATAAAAAAGTTTAAATTGCTTGGCTAAATTCACATAAATCATAAGAACATTACTAAGCCATAATTAACTTACACCTACAATCTTAATTGAACAATGTTCAGCTCCACTTTGCTAATCAATTAGCACACTAAAATTGATAGAGAGTGTGCAAATCGAAGTAACTTAATTTGCAAATAGCGTGCATTTAGCCATTAAAACGGAAATAAAGCAACAAATGGCCACCGACTTGGCAACCAACTTAGCAACGGGCATTATGGCGCAGGGGAAATAACAAACAGTAGTCACTGGCCATGCAAGGATTTGAGGGGAAAAATCAACAACTTCTTAGCAACGGGTCCTGCCACGATCACTTTCGCACCTGAATGTGCGTGTCATGACACCAGCGGAAATAACAACCCATTCAGTTGCTTACCAGCAGCCGAGGTAAGCAGTCGCAATTGGAAAAGGAAAAACCAACGGAAAATCGTTAAGGAAATTTAAATTAATATATGTATTATATAGAAAAATTTGGAAATTCATAAGGATTTAATAAAACCATATATAAGCATGATGTGCTAAGTGAACTTAACAGGAAATTACTTATCTGTGTTGCTTTTAATAGGAAATATTTAAAGTTTTACCTTTTTCGGAGTTATGTAACTAGTGAAAATGGTGAAAAGTGTTATGTAACACTAGAAAAAGCACTAAAAACTTAAAGTATCAAGTTTTTAATGGATTTTTAAAGTATATAAGTGAAAAAAGATTTCATAATTTTGAAAAAATCCTATTGATTTGCAATTTTTATCGATTTTATATGCTTAGTTGTTAGTGGTAACAAGGTCAGGCAAACACTCAGATATGCATGTGCACCTCATCCCCACAGCAAACAACAGACAACAGCAACAACCAGATAGCAACAACCACTGCAGGAGCAGAAGCACCAAAGCAACCACCTCGCCCACCACCCACCACACAGTGGGTTGCGATGGAGCCATCCACCAGCGCCGAGGCCGCTGCTGCAGCGGCAGCTGGTGGTCCGGATCCGCGCCTGGAGCTGATGGGCTCCTTCGTCATCAAGTCCCTGAAACTGAAGCCGGAGAAGTGGACGCGCGTCATCACGGTGGAGGAGCACAAGGGCATCATCAAGGAGTTTCTGGACAGGAACACCCCAGTTGTCCTCATCATCATCCTCACTCCGGCTGCCCAGCTTGTTCCGTCGACCACTTTTCCACTGTCACAGCTAAAGAGCAAGGGTGTGTACTTTATCAAGCGCTATGCGTTGCCTATTCCTCGAGAGGATTGCGGTAATTTCATCATCTACGGGGACCTGGCCACCCGCACCATTGACCAATTGTCCGCCCTGGTGGAGGAGGTACTGGTGCCTCTACTCTCCAACGAGGACAACTACCGCACATGGCCCATCATGGTGGCCCAGGATGTGCAGAAGCACGTGCATAGCCTCAAGAGCACCGTGCACCAGGTGAAGGGTCAGGTCAGCGGGGAGACCATCCTGGCCATGCCCGTGGGCGTGGAGAAGATTGTGAAGGCGGCCAAGGAGCTGGTCGAGACGGAGCAGTGCCAGTTCGATCTGTACCTGAAGAGCGCCATCGAGGGCGTCGTCATCAAGTGGGCCACCCAGATTCACGAGGTCATCAAGGAGAGCCCCTCGAACGCCTTCGCCAATGGCCAGAATCCCACTCCACACACAGGTGAGTGTAAGGCGATGCCAGGTGCCACATGTGTGCGGGTTTTATTTTTGGCTCCCTCCATTTATTATTTATTGATAAAATTCAAGTCTCCCCATATCCTAGCAACCCCGAAATTTGCATGTCAGACTCATCCAAAAGTTTTGTCTTGCTTTATTATCTGTTCACGAATGACATTCCGCGTGCATGCAATATTTATAATGCTATAGTCATAAGCTAAAGGGGTTCTTGGCTTGAGTTACGCGTTCACATTTGACATTGACAATTTAGTTGATGGGTTCATAGAATTGCGAAAACTAAGAGTCTGATTTGCCTAAATTACCTCCGATTTTTTCGGTCTTAGCTTAGGTAAAAGCGAAAAATTACAAGCAGACGCCTGGTGCTGAGATTGGTTATGCAAACTAGAATACAAGTTGGTATAACTAAGAAGGCTAGGCAAATTTATGTTGGGTAGACATGACTTTTCATTAAAGATTACGGACTATACAAAAATACAAAAAAAAAGTTAAGCTTAAGGTATAATAATCTAAGGGATGAACCTACTATATATACTTTCGGAAAAACAACGTAAGGTTTAGTCCAAATGCGTCCAGGCATATTGCAATATAGAGTTTTAGTTTTTACAATACTTATTATTCTTTTATTTCATTTTGTTTTGTGGGTGTAAAACATTGAAAATAATATTGGCTGTTTAATAAGATATCACGGAAAATATAAACCATTTAATGAAAATACTTTATAACACTAACACTTTATGAAATAGGTATAGTAGGTTTAAAGGTAGATGGACTGTTAACAATCCATTACTTATAACATATTTTAAACCAACGTTTTCTGTTTATTTAAAGATATTATATTAATTAAAGTTTTTTATTTGATGTAGGTAGCTATTCGCTTCTTATCCTATTTATTTACTAACATACATGATATTTTTATAATCTTACCTTTTATAACCTGGGTATTTAAAAAAAAGTCTATTGAAATTAACTGATTAAATAAGTTGAACACTTTCTACACCCCTGATTAAAGTTAATTGTGATTTAACGCCTTCTCAAACCTACAACCTTAACTAATTAAATTTGTCTTCAGATAAGATAATCAGCTTGGTAATATTATATAACTTCTCTGCAGAATTTTCATTTTGGAACAATCGCCTCAAGAATCTGTCATTTATCTACGACCAGTTGCGCAACGAGCGCATTCGTGCCATGGCCCTGATACTGGAGTACTCGATGAGTGCCTACCACCCGTGCTTCCAGACCCTCTTCAAGAACGTCGTAACGGGTGAGTGCCGTGCCGCGAAACGTGAGTTTAGCATGCCAATCGGTGATTTCCGTAGCTCTGGCGGAGGCAAAGGACATAACACTCTACCTGAACCCCCTGAAGCGCCCCCTCCAGCACCTGGAGGAGATTGATTTCGCCGAGTGCAAGCCGCTGCTCATTCCGTTCATGAATACGGTGGGCATTCTGTGGGGGAACTCGCGTTACTACTGCCAGTCGGCGAAAATAACAGTGCTGCTGCAGGAAATATGCAACTTGATTATACACCAGGTGAGCAATAATGGCTGCGAAATAGGTAAGAAGACATCTGATATATTTGGTCGATTTTTCAGGCCAAGCGATATTTGGATCCCTCGTCCATATT